GTGGCACCAATTTACATTCCTACCAACCGTGCATAAGGGTTTCCCTTTTTCCATATCCTTGATAACATTTGCTATTTCTTATCCATTTGATGATAAGCCATTCTGAGACGTATAAGATGATTTCTTCTTGTGGTTTTGTTTTTCATTTCCCTGATGATTAGTGATGCTGAGCATCTTTTCATGTTCTTGTTAGCCATCTGGATGTCTTTTTTGGAAAAATATCTATTCAGTTCCTCTGCCCATTTTAAACTTGATTTTTTTTGTCATTAAGCTGTGTAAGTTCTTTATATATTTTGAATATTAACCCCTTGTCATATTTACAAATGTTTTCTCCCATTCTGTAGATTGCGTTTTTGTTTTGTTCGTTTCCTTTGCTATGCAAAAGCTTTTTATTTTGGTGTAGTTCAGATATTTTATTTGGGACATATTGCTTTTTTTTCTTTTAGGAATCTTATGGTTTCAGGCCTCACATTTAAGATTTTAATAAATTTTGTTGATTTCTATGTATTTTGTAAGACTTGGTCCAGTTTCATTCTTTTGTGTGTAGCTGTCATATTTTCCCAACACCATTTATTGAAAACACTATTTTTTCCTTATTGTATATTCTTGCCTCCTCTGTTGTGGATTAATTGACCATATCAGTGTGGGTTTATTTCAGGGCTCTCTATTTTATTTCATTGCTTTATATGTCAATTTTTGTGTAGGTACCATACTGTTTTGATTACTATAGTTTTGTAGTGTATCTTGAAATCTGGGATTGTGATACCTCTGACTGCTTTCTTTCTCAAGACTGCTTTGGATATTTGAGGGTTTTTTTTTTTTTTTTTTGGTGTAGTTTCATACAAATTTTAGGATTATTTGTTCTAGTTCTATGAAAAATGCTACTAGTATTTTAATAGGGATTGCATCACATCTGTAGATTGCCTGGAGTAATGTCATCTTAACAATAATAATTCTTCTAATCTTCACTTTCTTTCATTAATGCCTCATAGTTTTCAGAGTATAGGTGTTTTACCTCCTTGGTCACATTTATTCCTAGGTATTTTTTTCTTTTTGGTATAGTTGTAAATGGGATTGTTTTCTTAATTTCTCCTGCTAATTCAGAAGAATAAAAATGTCATGTCATTCACAAACAGTGCAAATTTTACTTCTTCCTTACCAACTTGGATGACTTTTTCTTTTTCTTTTCTGATTGTTGCACCTAGGACTTCCAGTACTCTGTTGAATAAAAGTGGTGAGAATGGATATTCTTGTTTTGCTTCTGATCTTAAAGGAACTCTAACTTTTCAGTTTCTCACCACTGAGTGTGATGTTAGCAATGGATTTTTTATATATGGTGTTTAATATTTTGAGGTATATTCCCACTAAAACTACTTTGTTGAGAGTTTTTATCATGTATGGATATTGTACTTTGTCAAATGCTCTTTATGTGTCTATTGAGATGATCATATAGTTTTAATCCTTCTTCTTGTTAATCTGATATATATTGATTGATTTGTGAATATTAACCATTTGCTTTCCTGGAATAAATCCCATGTGATTGTGGTGAATGATTCTTTTAAAATATGTGGAATTCAGTTTGCTAGTATTTTGTTGAGGATTTTTGTGTCTGTGTTCATCAGGGATATTGGCTTGCAGTTTTACCTTTTCTTTTTATATACTGTCTTTGTTTGGTTTTAGTATCAGAATAATGCTGGTCTCATAGAATGAATTTGGAGATTTTCCTTCCTCTATGTTTTTTTGGAATAGATCCATGACATATTTAGAAAATAATTGTTTTATTTCTAAGCACTGTGGATTTAAAAATATATTTTATACTTGTTAATTTCTAATTTAATTCTAGTAATTTAATTATATTATAGTCAGGGAAAATACTCTAAGATTTCAAAGTATAATATTTACTGAGTCTTTTTAAATCTCTTAAAAAATGGTCTATCTTGGTGGCACTTAAAATGAATATGCAATTTTGCTGTTGGATGTTGGATGTAGTGTTGTTTTTTTTTTTTCCTATGGCTCATCTAGGTAAATTGGTTCATTTTCCTTATTTTTTTCTTTTTTGGTTGTTGTTGTTTACTTGTTCTACTAACCACTGGCAAGAGAATGAAAGTCTTCAGGTATAATTCTAAATTTGTCTATTACTCCCTCTAGTTTTGTAAATTTTTATTTAATGTATTTTCAAGATCTGTTGTTATGTGCACATTCATTAAGGGTAACTTCTTCATGAATTTACCCCTTATCAATATTAAATGTACCACTTTATCTTAAGAAATGTTTTTTATTTTGAAATCTTGTCTGATTATAATATAGCTTCATTGTCTTTCTTCTTATTATTATTTGCATATCTTTTTTCATTCTTTTACTTAAAAAATTTTTTTTAATGTTTTTATTTATTTTTGAGAGAGAGAGAGAGAGACAGCATGAGCAGGGGAGGGTCAGAGAAACAGGGAGACACAGAATCTGAAGATGGACTCCAAGCTCTGAACTGTCAGCACAGAGCCCAATGAGGGGGTCAAACCCACGAACCGTGTGGTCATGACCTGAGCTGAAGTAGGACGCTCAACTGACTGAGCCACTTGGGCCCCCCTCATTCTTTTACTTTTAACTTATCTGTGTCTTTATATTTAAAGAGGGTTTGTTATAGGCAGCATATAATTTGGTCTCAATATTTTACTTGAACATTAATGATATTTAGTAGTATTATTGATGTCAAGTTTAAGTCTACCAATGTATTTTCCTATTTGCTGGTTCATTTCTTTCCACTTTTGGATTAATTGAGAATTTTTAGTGTTTCATTTTTTAATTGAAGTATAATTGACATATGATATTAGTTCCAGGTGTACAGCATAATGATTCAACACTTGTATATTTTGTGAAATGATCACGGCAATAAGTTTAGTTACTATCTATCATTTTATAAAGTTACACATTTTTGTCTTATGATGAGAGCTTTTAAGATTTTGTTTCTTAGCAACTTTCAAATTTGCAATACAATATTATTGACTATTGTCACCATGTTGCACATTACATCCCCATGATTTATTTATTTTATAACTGGAAGTTTATATCTTTTTACTGCCTTCACTTGTTTCACCCACCCCCCACTCTCTCCCCTCTGACAACCACAATCTAATCTCTATATCTGTAAATTTTACTTGGTTTTGTTTATTTATTTGTTTTGTTTTTCAGATTCCAAGGGTAAGTGAACTCATATGGTATTTATCTTTCTTTGCCAGACTTATTTCATTTAGCATAGTATTCATTTATTTTATTTATCCTCAGGGTCCATCTATGTCTCAAATGGCAAGGTTTGATTCTTTTTTGTGGCTAAGTAGTATTCCATCATTCCTATATCTATATCTAGCTCACATTTTTTTTAATCCACTCATCCATTGATGGACACTTGAGTTGTTTCCACAGTTTGGCTAATATGTTGCAATGAACATAAAAGTGCATGTATCTTTTCAATTAGTGTATTTATTTTCTCCAGACTATACCCAGCAGTGGAATTACTGGATGATAGGGTAGTTCTATTTTTAATTTTTGAGAAACTTCCATACTGTTTTTCATAGTGGATGCATCATTTTCCACCCCCCTAATGGTGCATGAAGCTTCCCTTTTCTCCACATCCTTGTCAACACTTGCTATTTCTTATCTTTTTTTTTTTTTTTTTTAATAATAGCCATTCTTACAGGTGTGGTTTTGATTCACATTTTCCTGATGATCAGTGATGCTGAACATCTTTTCAAGTGTCTGTTGGTCATCTGTATGATTTCCTTGGAAAAATGTCTCTTTAGGTCCTCTACTTATTTATTAATTGGATGATGATGTTGATGATGTATGATTTCTTCATATACTTTGGATATTAACCTCTTATCATACATATGATTTGCAAATATCTTCTCCCTTTTAGTAGGTTGCCCTTTTATTTTGTTGATAATTTACTTGCTATGTACAATTTCTTACTTTGCTCTAGTCCTATTTGTTTATCTTTACTTTCATTGTCATTGTCTTTGGAGTCAGATGCAAAAGAATATACCCAAAAGTGATGGCTAGGAGCTTACTGCTTTTTTTCTTCTTCTAGGAGCTTTATTGTTTTTTGTCTTACATTAAAGTCTTTAATCCATTTTGTGTTGATTTTTATGTGTGGTGTAAGATGTGGTCCAGTTTCATATTTTTTGCTTGTGTCTCTGAGACACTTGTCAACCATGACAGCAATGCCATACTCCATGTAGTCTAGAAAAATCAGTGGATGTATGATTTTTAACAGAATGAGTGTATAATAATTTATCTATTGTATACACAACTTCATATATAAATTCCCCCAAATCTCTCCCTCTTGGTATCACACTCTTATGTAATCCCTTACTCTTGAGTGTGAGCTGGATTTAGCAAGCTGCTTTGAATGAATAAAATAAAGCAAAATTAATGGGAAATCATTTCATCATTAGTTCACAAAGGATTCCTAGCACTCCCTTGCATTTTCTCTGCTTCCTTGCTTGTTATGATGAAGTAAGCTGTAATAAAGAAAGGGCTATAAGGCAATAAACTGAGGGCAGGATCTAACCAACAGCCAAAGAGAAAATGAGGCCCCATTTGCAAGATGTTGCAAGGAACTGAATCTTGCCAACAGCCACATCAGTGAGCTTGCATATGGATCCTTCTCTGGTTGATCCTTCAGAGAAAACCTTAGCCTCAGCTGTCATCTAAGAGTATCCTTAGAGAAGACTCTCACTTAGAGAACCCAGAAAATCCATGACCATATATCACAAACATTGTGATATTATAAATGTTGTTGCCTTAAGTCATTAAGCATGGGATAATTTTTTACACAGCAATAGATTATTAATACATTTTTCTTATCTACTATTTTTGGACATCCCCCCCCCCACTCTTTTATTTGCTGTTATAAATAATGCTGAAGTAGATAGCCTTGGGCAATCTTCTTCTTCTTCAAAAGTGAATTTCCGTAAGTAGAGCTGATGAGTCTAAAGGAATGAGCAATGCTCACTTTGGTAGCGTGTCTAATAAAAACTTAGAATGATACAGAGAATGCTGACATGGCCACTGCATCAGGATGACATGCAAATTCATAAAGTGTTCCTTATTTTTTACAAAGCCTTAAAAGCAATTCAATGGAGGAAGGATAGTCTTTTCAACAAATGGTGTTGCAGTGATGGGATGTCCATTAGTAAGAAAATGAACTTCAACCTGCTCATATACAAAAATTAACTCAACATGGATTATGGACTTCAATTCAAAACATGAAACTATAAAATCTTCAGGAAAAAGAAACACTTTAGCATCTAAGGCAAGACAAAGAGTTCTTAGGCCTGACCCCAAAAAAACACTTTAGAAAAGAAAAATGTTGATAAATTAAATCTAGTCAAAGTTAGAAACTTACCTTTTGTGAAAGTCTAGGTGAAGAAGATGAAAACAAGCAACATACTGGGAGGAAATATTTACAAATCACATGTCCCACAAAGGAATAGTATCTAAAATATATAAAGAACACTGAAAACTCAGTAGCAAAAAAATCAAATTAGAAAATGGGCAAAAGGCACAAACAGACTTTTCAATGAAGATGATATGCAGATGGCAAACACACACACGAAAGATGTTCAGGATTATGAGCCATCAGGGAAATGCAAATTAAAACCATAATGAGATATCACGACATATGGATCAGAATGGAGAAAATAAAAAACAGTGACATTACCAAATGCTGGCAAGCATGCAGAGGCACTCGATTACTAATACATTGTTGGTGGGAATATAAGATGATATACCCACTCTTGAAAACAGTTTGGCAGTTTCGTATAAAACTAAACATGAAATTACCATATGAATCAAAAACTGTACTCTTGGACATTTATCCCTGAGAAATAAAAGCTATATTCACACAAGCACCTGTACATCAATGCTTTTAGTGGCTTTGTTCACAGTAGCCCCAAACTAGGAATAATTCTGATGTCCTTCAGTGCATGGATGGTACATATATACATGGTACATATATACATGGAATATTACTAAGCAATACAGATAAAAGAACTGTTGATACATACAATGACTTAGATGGGTCTCCAGAGAGTTATTCTGACTGAAAAAAAATCCAATATCCAATATTACATACCATGTGATTCTTCGATGTAACATTTTTGAGATGACAAAATTTTATAAATGGAGAACGTAGCAGTTTCCAGGGATTAGGGATGGAGGATGTGTGGAGCAGCAGGGGAGAAGAATAGGATTGTAAAAGGGCAATATGAGGGATTCGGGTGTTCATGGAATCATTCTGCATCTTGACTGTGGGGACAGATATATATACATATAAATGTGATAAAGTTGTATAGAACTGAATACGCATCTACGCTCAAATGAACACAGGTAAAACTAGAAGCATCTGAATGACATCAGTGGATTTTATCTATGTCAGTATCTTGGTTGTGATACTGTAATATAGTTTGCAAGATGTTAGCACTGGTGAAAACTATGAAAAAGGAACATGGATCTCTCTCTACTATTACTTTCAAGTGAACGTGAATCTACAATTAGCTGAATAAAACTTCCACATTTTCTTTCTGTCTTTTTGTTTTTCTAAGAGAGAGAGTGTGAGCAGGGAGGGGAAAAGGGGTGAGGGAGATTCTCTCTCTCTCTCCCTCATCCCTCTCCCCCAATCTAGCATGGAGCCTGACTTGGGGCTTCATCTCATGGCTATGAGATCGTGACTTGAGGCAAAATCAAGAGTCGGGTGTTTGACTGAGCCACCCAAGCACCCCAAAACTTTCAATTCTAGATGCGATGAGCATTTTTATAATTTCAAACATATTGACAAATTTTACTCCACGAAGAACACAACAGTTTTTAATTCTACTCACCATATACATGAGTTATTTCACCAGCGCTCTCACTACTAAGATTGTGTCAATTCTTAGCTCATGTTAATATGATAGGAAACTCTATGCAATCGACATTAAGCAGGAAAAGAAAGTGGCTTTGTACTGATTAAAAAAATCACTTCTTGGGGTGCCCAGGTGGCTCAGTCAGTTAAGTGTCTGACCCTTCATTTCAGACACGTCTTGATCTCAGGGTCATGAGTTCAAGCCCTGAGTTGGGCTCCATGCTGGGAGTGAATCCTGCTTAAAAAAATTCACTTCTCCAGAGTTTTTGTATAATTATATATACATAATATATATATTTAAATTTTATTTATTTATTTTGATATAAAGAGAGAGTGCATGTGAGCAGGTGGCAGGCAGAGAGAAAGAGAGAAAGAGAATCCCAAGCAGGCTCCATGCTCTCAGTGCAAAGTCCAATTTGGGGCTCAAACTCACCAGTCATGAGATCACAACCTGAGCTGAAACCCAGGGTCGGTCGCTCAACCAACTTAGCCACTCAGGTGCCTCTATGTGTAATTCTTATATAATCCTTACATAATGCTTACATAATTCTTATATAATTAATGACATTTTAATTCCTTCTACAACATAGCACAGACATATATGAAGTAAAATTACATGACAATAACAATAATAATATGGTTATTACTCACTAATAACAGTAGAGAAAATTTGAAACACTACCAACAAGGTTGATTACATATCTAAATCAAAGCCTACATATATCTGTTATCTATGCATTTGTATCAAATAACAAAAATACTCACTTTCAAATCTCTGTGGGATATTAAGAATTAAACACACACACAACAGATAACTTTAAAAAATCTAAGGAATTGAGGTGCCTGGGTGGCTCAATAGGTAAGTATCTGACTCTTGATCTCAGCTTAAGTCATGATCTCACCTTTCATGGGATTGAGCTCTGTGTTCGGCTCTGTGCTGACAGCATAGAGCCTGCTTGAGATTCTCTCTCTCCCTCTCCCTCTCTGCCCCTCCCTGGCTTGCACATGTGCCCTGTTTCTCTCTCCAAATAAATAAATAAACATTTTTAAAAACCATAGAGACACTTGAGTAGCTCAGTTGGTTAGGCATCTGACTTTGGCTCAGGTCATGATCTCACAGCTCATTGTTTCCAGCCCTGCATTGGGCTCTGTGCTGACAGCTCAGAGTCTGGAGCCTGCTTGGATTTTGTGTCTCTCTTTCTCTCTGCCCCTCCCTCTCTTGCTCTTTCTCTCTCTCTCAAAAAGTTAAATGAACATTAAAAAATAAAAACACTAAAAAATTTAAAAAAATAAAGAAAAGAAATAATTCAAGACAAATGATCAAACCAGAATGTAGTAAATGTAAAATAACAGCAACAACAAAAACTTTGGGCTGAGAAATATGAGTCTAATTGCAACTTAAAAATAGTTTTCTGAATACTCATGTATTAAAAAGGGAACCCAAACTGAAGGTATGCTTTATTTATAAACACTAAATGTTGAAAATAAACAATTGAATCATTCAGTTAAAGAGGACATAAATTGGAAAAAGAAAAACAAGAAACCATGGTGGATACAAAAATGGGCACAAATTCCTCCTCTCTTTTTCATCCAACCTCTCAGGTGGGTCCTCCCATGTTGACTGCTCTTGACCATGAGGCTTACTTTAGCCAATGGATTGTGCAAAATATGCTTCAGGCTAAGACCCAAACAGCACATTCCACCTCACTGCCTTGCTTTGACCACCATGTAAAGAAGCCGGGGCTTGGTTGCTGCATGATGACAGCCATGTGGCCTAGTCAGCCTCATCACCCTGGCCAACAGCCTGCCAGCTGCTAGCCATATGACCGAGGCCACCTTAGATCTTCCAGCCACCAGCCCACTCACCAGCTGATCAGAGATGCATGAGTGAGCCTAGCAGTGATTAGCTGAGCCAGTTTGAACCAGAAGAACCACTCAGCCAACACACAAAGGCATGAGCTAAATGCATGGTGGTTATGTTTAAGTCATATGTCTTGGGGTGGCTTGTGACCCAGCAAGGGCTGTGGCATGAAAACATTAGGGTAAAAAAAAAACAGAGGCAGTTGTGGCAAAGTCCACAAGTATCATTACTCTTCTATCGTCCCTGCTAATGAAATTAAATATGCAAATAATCTTTAAGGGTATGTGTGGGGCTGTAGAATTCTAAGAAGGTGCCTGGAGTCAGGCTGAGAGCAGGGAATAGCCCCCAGCTAGGGCTCCCCTTATAGTGTACACCTTGAGGTGGGGCATTCACTCTGGTGGCTTCTATGTCTGCTTTATACACCAGGTGTTGGGCCACTTGATGTGAGAATAAGAGGATCCACATGAGACCCATTGGCTTGGGTCCACCAGGTTGGGTGGGCATGGGGACTTAACACCCTTGCTGGCTGCTCAGGCCTCTGTTCTTCATGCAAGGGCCCTACAACTAAATGAACACAAGGCCAGGTAATGGAAGCAATCTGTCAGTGAGGAGCCAGACTGAACGAAGAATCAGCTCACAGACTGACCTCAAGGCCAAGTGCCTCCTAGCAGGTCCTCACCATGTGTGGATAAACGTGTATGCAATGAAAACATCACATGCACATGCAGTGTGGTGATGTTAAGGTGCCTAGGATTACCCTATGCACGATTCAAGTTTCTCTGGGCTTAGAGCATTCCTGTGCAGAAGAACCCAGAATCATTTGCAGACGGGGTGGCAGAGCCCGCTGGCTTAGTCTCAAGCCATCTGAAAGGAAGTCAAGGATTTCTGCAGGGACCTGCCTTCCACAGGTGCTCCTGCAGCATCGTAAACAAGATGGAAGGGACAAGCTACATCTGTCTGTTTGCAATAAAAAAAAACCCTTAAGAACAGACAAGATGGTGCAGAGGCACCACATCTGTCGCAGTGGGACCAGCGGCCGCCAGCAGTTTTTATTTGCCTTTGTTTGTGCAGCTGAGAGGCGGGGTTGGTGGGAGGTTACAGAGCTGGCTTTCCGGGTGCCAGAAGTAAGAGGACACTTAGAGCCATGCCCTGCGGGATCAGGAGCTGCCCTGTCCCAGGGCTAGTGACCTTTCCTTGACCGGAGAGGATCACTGCCTCCAGGGCACTGTCATCCCTGCCTTCATGTTGCACAGGAACTTCTGCAATTAGGAAAGTCCTTGGGGATCAGGAAAGATGATGAGACAAAATTCAAAATCAAATTCTCTTTTCCAAAAATAACAATTTAAATGT